GAAAGAAAGAAAGAAAGAAAGAAAGAAAGAAAGATAGATAGATAGATAGATAGATAGATAGATAGATAGATAGATAGATAGATAGATAGATAGATAGATTAGATAGATTCAGGAGATAGAGCGGCTCCAACCAGAATTGCCATAATTTTGTGTGGTGACTTCATCACTGTGCTTTTATAATGAGCTGCACTTTGGAAAAGGAACTCAACTCACAGTACTCGGTAAGATAAATCCATACCTTATTATTGCAAGCAAGACTGAATTTCTTAAAATGTTAATGAATGTCTGATCAATCCCTGGTTTAGAATGTAGAAATCCATACAACTATCACCCAAAACACACATGGATGAAGTGCAAATTGCTTCCAGTGTTCATCCCTCCACATAAAATGTGTTAATCTCATCAACATCTCTTTGGGCTTTCCTTGACCATCAAGGGATCTATTGCCTGAGAAGAATCAATCATGCATGTTAGGATACGTGGGATTCTCCCTCTCTCTCTCTCCCCTTCTCCACCCCCATGAAAATCTGTTGGGTTTTCTCAGAATGTCTATGTATGATTTATTTGAGGAGGAAACACTGTTAGCAAATTTCACATAAATTACTTCTGGGCTAAGGTTGACTAATAAAAATATGCAGGAACATTAATGTTCTATGTGCTCTGATGGAATTGATTGTCAACATCTGTCCTCTTCCTATATATCAACAGGTTCCTTGGCAATTGATTATTGAATGTGAGACATAATTAGGGGAGAATCCAACATAAATTATGCCAACTTTCTAAAAAAGTGGAGATACTGGAGAGATTGAAAGCTTATGGGAGACTAAAGTTGGGGTTGAATCCTTTCTTATTTGTGCTTTACCCTTCCCCCAAAGAAGTCATTTCTATTTATGGAGTCCTGGCCACAAGAGAAAACAATGGATTGAGAAAAATTATTGATGGGGAAACCAAAAGTCTGAGTAAAGGATGAATTTGATTCCTACTTTTCATGCTGCACTTTAGATCTTCCCCCATTGATTCTTGTTTTGCAGTGATCAGTCAGTTGATAGGTTCACTGCCATCATATCTAGTTTAGCCTGAAAATTTGTGATGTGTTAAAAAAAATTCTATAAATTAAGTATGGCATCTGTGGGAGGAGGTCTAAAAAGGTCCATTCTCTGTTTCTGTCTTGCTCTCTTGCTGTCTCACACCCACACAAAGACACCCACACATACACAGAAGTCACACTGGATGTTATAATCAACAAGTGATGGTCATACACATGTAATCAAACATGCCCCCTCCCCAACTTCAGTCTTTACATAGGAGCAAATTCATGCTCAGAGATCATACAGGTGACAGTTTTGACTCCTGCTTTGTTGGCTTTCCGCTTCAAAGAAAGAAAGAGATTCTCAGGAAACAGATGCCCTTAGATGAGGATGTGATCCCTAATTAAATATCTGTGACAAATCAAGAGGAAACAAACGTCTCTGCCTTCTAGCAGTAAACCTTATTCCTTTTCATGTTTTATCAGCACTGGATAAATTATGAACTAGGGGCAGGGGGAGGGAATTTTGATGGAACAGCTTTCTAATTGTAACAGACAGAACAAGATGAAGAAAAACCTATCGGCTTCCTTATGGATAATCCAGAGGGGAATGTATTTCATGACCTTCCCAGCTGTGCAAACACTGAGCAGACCTACTTTGGAGCAGAGACCAAGCTGACTGCTTGGGGTAAGGAAATACATCTAATGGAAACTGGTAGAACCATGCTGAAAACATGGCTCCATGTTGTTATAGTAAAAGGACTAGAGATAGTGTAGGTTATGCCTGCTAAGAGATCAAAAGGCAAATTCCTTAAAGACTGGGGCAAATAAAAAGAAAGAGAGAGAAGTAGCAGTTGTAAATGTGTCAACTCTAATATCTCCAATGGGTCCACATGGCCAGTAAAAGATGAATATGACAGCATGTGGATTTTTTTCAGAAGCCCTCCTGCTCATCTCTATCAGCTAGTCAGTCAAGGATGGCTCTAATCACCTGCAAACTCTGTGATAAGGTCTTTTGAAAAATTGGCCTTGAAGACCTCTATGGTCTCCTGGGGTTCATTACATGAAACTGTACTATTTATATGAAAATCACTAGGCGTGGAGGACTACTTTGACCTGGACTTCCCTTTCTCAGGTACAAAGTTCACAGTTTAATTTCTCAGTTCAGCTCTCCCTCCCTACATGTCCACCAGTATCCTGGACCTTAGAAAAAACGGGAGGATATGAATACAACATATACACGATTGCATCAAAATGTGTTGTAAGAATTGGATCAGAGGTAATTTAGCTGAGAGATGTTTTCCCAATGGCAAGTAACCAGAGAAAAAGTTCCTGGTAGCGTATATGGGTGATGTCTTCTTTGAGCTGAAGTATCTCCTTTAGTAACAGGATTTCATGCTGTGTAATACTCCACTGAACTTTGGCCCAGGAACTCGAGTATCTGTGTTAGGTAAGCCAAATGAACTGCTATGGGCGTTTATATGGATTGAATGATTCTTTGCTGTGGAAGCTAGGTACAAGATGTAGGATCTTAAGAAGTGACTACTGTGTGGAAATTGTGGAATACAGTATAGTGGGCTACACAGTGGAGTTAAGAAACATGACTTTGACTCATAGATAAATAACCCCCTACAGTATTTCATCTCAGCCTGCCTTACTGGGTTGTATTGAGGATAACATGGAAATATATGTATTCCTTTGAACTCCTTGTATGAAGGGTTCTCCTTGTAAAATAAAGATCAGTAACTTGTGCTGTGTTGATGCTGAGAATGTCACCATGAACTAAAGCAAGGTTAATGTGAATGGACTAGTTGGCACCAAAAAGCCAAGGAATCTCTTCCAAACCATCTTCCTTGGCTGCATGAAATATATGAGAACTCAATGCCAGTAAACGTGACTCTTTTTGATGGCCACCACAGTACTGTTTTTAAGATTGTGTAGATCTATGGCTGATTATTTTTCTCTTAGTCATACAAATTGGTCAATAGAAAATGTGAACAGCTGAAAGGATGATCTAATACAGGGCAATTGGTACTGTGGGCCACGGATTATTATAATATTAATGGCAAGAATAATAGCAATAATAACAATGACTTTGAAAGAAGGCACACAATTGGCTGGATGTTAGTTAGTTAATTAATTAATTAATTGAATTTATAACCTGCATGCTTTCAGTTAAGACAGCCAGTGACGGTTAACAATAAAAATAAAACGTTCATTGATAAACTCCAATACTTGCACAAAACTTAAGCGCACAACGTAAAATCTATAAATAACAACAATGCCCCCAAAACAGAGCAAGCATAAGTTCCAACATAAACCTATCAAGACAATAATATCAGAAGGCTTATTTCAACACTTCAGCTTTGGATGTTGCTTTTTTAGACTCAAGATAATGTTCAGAAACAGCTTGGATAGATGATAAACAGGAGACATTCCTTCAACATGATCTCAATAGTTATTTCTAGAAGTTCATTTATAGGACAGACGTGCTGTGTGCCACTGACAAGGTCTATTTTGGACAAGGGACTCGACTGACAGTACTAGGTAAGATATATGGGAATAATGGAGATCTGAAGCAATTATTTAGCTCCTTCATAAAGATCATCTGGTGTAGGACTGAGCAAACCGGTCTCCTCCAGATGTTTTAGACCTCAGTTCCCATTAGCTCCAGCCAACACGCCCAGGGAAGAGGTCAGTCCAGTTATCTTAAAATAGCAGCAATTCTGCAAATCAGGGCTGCATTGTTTGCCATCCCTATATAACGCACTGGGTGTGCAAGTACAGAGAGGGTCAATCAGTACGCATCTTGTAAGTTTGATACAAAGCTCAGAAATAGCTCATTTAGATCATAAAGAGAACAGAACCCCTCCATCACTGCCCCAAACAAAGCTTTCTGAGTAGCATGTTTGTAATGATACACAGAAAACACATTGTGTGTCAATGAGCTGCTGCACTTTGGTCAAGGAACCTGGCTTACTGTTCTAGGTAAGAATGGAATTAAGGGCATAAGAAATTTGTATGGAGTACATTTCAAGGGGCTGTATGTGACTGTAGTTATCTTATAATAGCAACAATTCATAAGGGAGGACAATATTACTTTTTCACTCCCCTATTGCAAGCTTTGATCTGAGGCTTGTACTCCTTCTCTTAATCATAATATGCTGGTCTCTGAATCGCTGGATGATACTACAGGGATTATAATGTAGAAGGACAGCAGAAAAAATGGTTTTTTAAATGATGCGTGTCAAATCCTCCTACATTTCTCAGAGTTTTTCATTCTCAGTTCAGAAGAGTTTCTAACCCCCTGGTCAGCTTCATTGCTCTTCTCAGAAACTGTTTTCAGATAGTCTGCAGTGCAGTGCCAAGAACTGGGTGTAATAATCAAGGTGAGGTCTGACCAAAGCAGAATAAAATATATTATTACTTCCTGTGATTTGGAAAGTATAATTTCGTTGATGCAGCCTAAAATTGCATTTGCTTTTTGATGAACTCTTACTTAGCCAGGCACCTAATCCTGTAAGGGAATATTAGCAAGCAGCCTGTAATGATTGATTTCATGTGTCCAGCAATGGTTTATCTAGCTGTAGATTCACTACTACTCCCTGTCAGAAATTCATGCCCTTTGTAAGGAGAGGTCTGTAACCTCTAGATTACAAACTCTAGATCCTTACCTACTCAGTATATATTAAGCAACAAAGGCACATAGGGCAAGGGAACATATGGTCTCCATTCTCAGGTCCTGAAAACTGATCTTATTTGGAGAAGATGGGCTGGACATTTCCACAGATTGAACTGCCTTCACTGTAGAAGCTAAGCCCACTCCTTTCTCTGTGGGAAAAAACCCATTTGGAAGTGTGGCATACAAATACAGAGAGAGCCAGTTTGGTGTAGTGGTTAAGGCATCAGGCTAGAACCTGGGAGATCATGAATTTTAGTCCTGTCTTACGCATGAATCCAGCTGGGTGACCCTGGGCCAGTCCCTCAGCCCTGGGAAGGAGACAAGGGCAGACCACTTCTGAAATCTTGCTGAGAAAACTGCAGGGACTCGTTTAAGCAGTAACTAGGAGTCAACACGGACTTGAAAGCAAAAAATAAACCAACACAGCAGACAAACACACACACAGTTTCACCGTTCTCTGAGCATAGGTTTGGATACCAAGGATTGCGCAATGCTTATGGGAGTGGGGCTGCTGGTGAAGCAGAGGCAGTGCTTGAATTCTTCCCCCACCTCACCCTTCTGCTGATTCTCCAAAGAACTCATGCCATCACTGCAAGGTTGATTTGTATGGGCACATATGGTATTTAGCACCTCTTTCTTGATTCTCAGCATTTAATGATTGGCACCTGAACAAGCTCATTTCATTGAAATGCCCTGTGTTTAAATAAGTTGGAGGCAACAAGTGTTACTTGATGATGCAGGTGGCAAGCTGGTACATGTAGGTTAACCATAGCTTGAGAAGGTCTGCCATCTCTTTTGTTATATGTTGCTTTCTCTTCCAGAAACGGGACAGGTTTGCACACCCCCAACTGTGACCATATTGTCTCCATCCAAGAGAGAACTAGAAGAAAAGCAGAAGGCTACACTTGTGTGTTTGGTCACCGATTTCTTTCCAGATCACATCACTCTTACATGGTCTCTAAATGGCAATTCTATCACAGAGGGAGTAAAGACAGAGGAGCCCGTATATGAAAATAAGAAGTATTCGCTGATCAGCCGTTTAAGAATCACCAGGAAGCAGTGGCAGGATTCAGAAAACACCTTCAAGTGCCAAGTTGTTTTCTACAATTGTTCTGCAGAAAGGAACTATGGCGATTCCATAACTGGAGAAAGTGAGTGAAAGGAAAGTGAAGTCCCACTTTCTGGAGCTTTTCTGCACTTCACTAAGTACTGTATATACGATGCCCTTGGGAGCATTTTAAAATATATTTTGCTGAACAAAATTGCAAATATTAACCAACATTTGCATGTTCAATTCCTAGTCAAATGTGATTGCTTACACGAATCCTTTTTTGTACTCTTATACTTAACTATTTACCTTCTCTCTCCCTCACTTGTATTTGCAAAATTTGAAAATTTTCTGATCTTTGTCTAAGAGTTTCTACTATCACCATGACACAGGCAAAATGTCAGAGCTTCTAGCAAAGTTTTTTTTACTATTTTTCCATTTTTTATTATCCCTTAAAATATTTACACATAACCTTTAATGCCAATCAGAACAATGACTTTCAGGACTGAGTTTTTGAGCCTTGCTTTGGAAACATTGCCTTTAAATCTCAAGTAAAATCAGATATAGTACAAGAGCACAAGTTTGCTTCCTTTTCTATTCTTTCTTCTTTCTGTTGGCTTTCTTATTTGTAGTAGAAATGATGATGATGATGATGAAATATAGCTAATATGCATTTTCCTCCTTCTGTTTTTAGAATGTGATGGCAATACCTTCACAGATGGTAAGTCAAACTCAGCCTGTTTTTTCCAAAGGTATATTAGACTGAATCTTTAGCTTTCTCCAGGAGCCCTAAGAGTAAATTAGCTTTGAATTAAGTCTGGCTGAGTTCAACATGTTACGTTCCTGACAGATACATTTAATCTGGCAAATGATTTGAATATAACTGTGAAAATTAACCCCAAAGGCAGGAGCTTATGAGTGTAGATTTGAATTCAGTATCACTGAGGGTTTCCCCTTCTTCAAGAAAAACAAAATTGAAACCCTGAAACAGCGGCAGGGCTGTATTCATTTTTTAAAAGCTATTTTTACTTAGTTGGAGTCTTGGACAGAAGGAATACAAATTACTACCTTTTGGGATGATGATAGGAGAAGCATCAGTAATGGTTTGTTTCTTTTAAATAGTTTGTAAAAGATAAGCAGAACCTCTGACATTTTAAAATGGAAGCAAAGAGAGTGCCCATTAGACCAGATGTGCAACCACTTTTCCTCTGCATGGCTCCAGATGTGGGTTTGCACAAAAAAAATACAGGGTTGAAGTTTGGAAAGATGAGGACAAAAGCAAGATGGCAGGTTGCCAATTCAGTAAAAGCAAATCAAAACACCCCCCCCCCAAAAAAAAACCTGGGAGCAAGGAAAGACTTTGTCCTTCCCTCCAGCTTCTGCTCCCAGGATATCTTTCTCAAAGAGGGTTTTCTTCAGAAAAAGGTATTGATCTATGGCTAAGTATTTAAATACTTTGAAGCTAAGCATTACAGCTAAGTATATTTCTGCATATTCTGTAGTTTGGCTCTCAAAATCTTGTATTCCTGAAATGTGCAGGGGAAGGGAAAATCAACCTAACAGAAGGAGAATGCACTGTCTGGCTTCACCTTGGGGTGTGTGTGTGTGGAGAGAGAGAGTTATACATTTCTTACATTGTTATTTTTCCCCACCCTTCACATTTAGAATCATATCTCAGACAAATCAACCTTGGAAAACTGGTGTATATTCTTCTCATTTTCAAGAGTGCCTTGTATGGGGCATTTATAATGGGCTTGAAGCTAAGAAAAAAAGGTAATGTGCCATGTCCATTCTTTTTATCCAAGATTAACCGATTCTTGAGAAAAATGCATTGCATGTGTTATCCTGCCTTTAAAATATCCCAATCCAGTCTTTGTTGTTCAAAGACTCACAGGATCTTTCCCTACAGCTGAATTAAAATGTTCCCCACCCATCCTTGAAGTGGCAGAAAATGATTGCCAATCTTGATCCTGCCTCGGTTCCCAATCATTGCCAGTCCCTTGATTTTCCTCCAAGGTGATGGGGGACAATGCCTTGAACCTGACTTTGGATGGAGGGTAAGAGAGAAGTTTGCCTTGCTCACATGTGCTGGGGAGAAGATGAAGGCAAGTCATGAGGACATAGCAGAAAAAAGCGAAGCTTCATGGTTAGGTGAAGGGGGTGGGGGAAAGGCCCTTAATTAGATCAATCTAGATAAGACAATGAAGATACATGATCCAATTCCCTCATCAGGACAATAGCATCCATAAGGAGTCCAAATCTTAGATGGGCTCAGCACAAAGAGGGAACTTTCTTTCACCATAGTCATGGTCTGTTTTCACAGTCTTTTTGGCATCTTCAGTTTGTTTGTTTGTTTGTTTGTTCCCTTGAGTCAGTGTTGACTTCTGGCGACTACCTGGACTAGTCCCTGCAGTTTTCTTGGCAAGGTTTTTTGGAAGTGCTTTGTCCTTGCCTGCTTCCTTGGGCTGAGAGAGAAGGACTGGCCCAAGGTCCCCCAGCTGGCTTTGTGTCTTAGGTGGAACTAGAACTCACAGTCTCCTGGTTTCTAGCCTGGTGCCTTCACCACTAGACCAAACTGGTTCTTAAGGTCTACCCAATTTATTATTGTTTAAACTTTTATGGCTCTCAGTCCACTTTATTGGGTTCAGGGAGTATTCTCAGGATTTTACTCTACACATTGCTGAAGTGGATTGTCATCCATGATAGTGGAAATCAATTGGTTAGACCTGAAGGACCCACAAGACTTTGATATGGCTCCCTATAAGGATAAGATATTCCTAGCAGGTATCTTTGTGTTCTACTCATATGTAAGATTACATAAGTGGCCTTGGAAAGTAAACTCAAATACATGCTTCAGATTAGGAATATAAATGCTATGGGGACCAGTATTAGTACTTTTGTTTGATGTGTGCTTATATGTAAGTGCAATACAAACAAACAATAAATGTCACAACCCAATATAAACCAGCATGAGCAATATAACAATTGATTTAAAACATGACCTGATCCCACTACTACCATAATCCAAACCATGATCCAGAACTGCCACTGAAAAGTCAAGTTCTTCTAGATTAAACAGATTTATGGAGTGAACCATCCAAGATCTGCTTGAAGTTGGAATTGAATTGGAGCAGAGGGCACCATAGCTCATCTTGCAGGAAAAATCAGATTGCCCAGTTTCTTCCAATATCTTCCCTTTCGCTGTGGGAATCCTGTAGTCTGCATCTGGGCTCTTTAATCAAAGAGATGTCATGTGTGAAATGTGCCCCTGGGTCTTTAATGGTTGCTCTGGTGTCTAGAGATAAGATAAGGCATTTAACCCAGGATTAATGAGTTGCCCTTGTTTCCTTTTTTTCAGTCCTGGGGAAATCATGTTTGAGTTGAATGAATGCTGGAGAGAGGAGAAAAAGAAGAAGGATTCTTGCCTTCAGAAGTCCAGAATAGCATTCTGGTTCTTTTTTTTTTTTTAATAAAAATAATTGGTTGCCCCCCATTTTATCTTACTGTTCTTATTACTATCTCTATTGGAGTATATTGTTATAAAATCTCAGAGCATCTGAGGTGCAAAAGATGGAAGCATCTTGAACTTTTTAAATTCTTATAACTGAAATCAGTAGGCTTTAAAGTGCTTAATATTGACTTTTGTTTTGTTTCTTTATTTTCTTACCTGTTAATAAATCTTTCTTTATTTCTGACCTGTTTTTAGTAAAATCATTCCTAGCAGAACACTTTGGCTGAGTTTTCTGTGTTTCATTCATAAGTCCAGAGGTATCAAATTTAAGATGATGAAATATTGCAAACTCGTTCTTCTAGGATAAATATCGTTCTTCCAAGTGGAGGGGGATGTTGAAAGGTTTTCCTGCTTTTATTGATAAAAGACAGCCCTAATTTTTAGTAAAATACATATCTAATACTTTTCAATGGTTTTTGGCATTATAGTGTCATGAAACCAAAGGCAATTAGGTGGGTATGAACAAAGTCTGTCTCTGCATAATGATTGTATATAGACCGAATCTGGTCACCTTGATTTTTCCTCCAGTTCAGCTCTTCGAGGTATATGAACTTTGGTATTGTTGTTGTTGTTGCCAGAAGTGTCTGCAGGAGAGAGCTGATGGTATAAGCAGCAACATTGCTCTATAAGCACTGTCTCTTTTGCACACGTGTTGTGTGGTTGCACATAGGTATGAAGGAAGCAGAGCTTGCATTGCAACAGTGCGACATCCTTTCAGCATTTTGACAAAAGCAGACCCCTCAGACATCTGCTGCAGAAGTCTCCATGTCCCTCTCTCTGTAAACTGTCTTGCTTAACTAGTCCCAGTGTTACGTCCAGCCCAAAGCGACCAAAACAAGTATGCAGCTTTCTCAGGAGAAATATCTTGCAGCTCTGGAGTGTTTTTCCCTGGGAAGGAAGTTTCAAGAATTAGCCATTTTTTGTTCACACTTGTACGAGTGAGAAGGCCCCAAGTATGACTTCCTCAGATTTTACTGCATGTGGAACAGCATGCAAGAGGAGACATCCCTCTGACCTTGATTGGTTCATACTGTAGCGTGATATATGATGAGCTACACATGCAGTGAGATATTGCCATCACTTAGAGCAAGGTGTCACTTCTGGAAACAGAACCACCTTCTCTCTCTCTCTCTCTCTCTCT